GAAAATGTAATTCAATAGCCATAAAGTTAAAAAACTGAAAATTCTATAAAAAAGTGTCTGGCCTTTGGGAAATAGGGAAAACCTAGGGAATCAAACTCCAACCCACAGGAAGGGGCCTTGGGGATTGAGTTATCATTCCTAGCTCGAAATTGATCAGGATTGCTGGCTACAGCCTCTGAGCTACATAGGAATTAACCAGACTGTCAGATCATAACTAATTGTTACAGAGGTTGGTGGTGGCAACTCAAAATGATATTGAAGGGCTTTTACAAGGGCCTTAAATATGTTTATTATAGAAAAACCTTTGCCCTAGGTATTTCACCTTATTGTGAAGCCTGCTGTTCTGCCTTGTGGGTTAACTCATCTAGACAAGAGGAATGCTACCAAGTCCCTGAGACTACTTGGATGGAATGTTCTAATGGCTTAGCATATGTGATTCTTCTGACGCTTTATACAATGCGAAAATACAATATGAACCATGCACTATAACAAAGAAAGAAAAAAGAAAGAGAGAGAAAGGAAGAAAGGAAGAAAGCTATACCTGTGCTTCTACTCCTGGTCAAAGAAAGGATAGCTAGCTCAAAAACCATAGAGACATCATTTTTTTTGTCATGAGAAGCACAGCATTAAGAAACTAAGTTGATAGGTTGACAAGACCTAGAAGCATTGTAAGTTTCCATTTCTGAATGATAACAACTGGTAGACTCCCTTGCAGATGTGCTCTTACAACATCAGAAAGGCTTAGACTTCCTTCTCATGACACAAAGGGGACTATGTGTGACTTGAGGAAAGGTTGTTGATTTTATTCTGGTTAATCAGTAGCATTTAGAAAAAGAGTCATGGTTGGGGAAGACGAGAGAACAAGTGAGGGAGAGAGAGAGACAGAGACAGAGAAAAGTCAGAGAGAAAGATAATTGGTGCGAGCCTCTGTTCTGTTCGTCCCTCTGGCTAACTACTCTGCTAGCAGCACTGACTGGTTCTTTAATTCTGATTGCATTCGTGAAGGGGCCCTCCATCTTATACTATAGAGCAGTATAAGTCCACAATTTGACTTATTCACTTAGACTAGTAGGGAATATTAATGGGCCTCCCAACATGGTACAGCTGATTCCATGCTGCAAGTAACATTCAGGCTATAAAACTCATCAACACTACCCAAAATGAAAACAAAGACAAAATCTGTCCATGTTCAAAGTTCGTTGAGAGCCTCTACCGTGCTTTTTGACTTCTATAGTTCTGCTTTTGTCTTGTTAACTGAAGTATGCACATCCACAATATGGTGTTTGTGCTTAAAAGCTCACCCTGAGAAAGGCTTGGAACAGTGCTCAGGTACTGAACACCTGAACACCCAGTGTAGTCACTGACCAGCTAATAAGGGCTTTCTATTGGCTTAAATAAATGTCCCAGTAGTATTCTCTGGTGGATATGCTACCACACCAGAGGCCCTTTTCTCATATGCTTGACTCTAGCGCCAGAACCAAGTGGCTGACGCTGCCGAGTTCTGCTGGTTGACAGGGCTGGAATGTGGCCCCTTGGTCAAATCCTTCTTCACCAGCTTTCTGTTTTTGATAATTTCTTTTGCTGGTTAAGCTTTTCTTTAATTCCTTTTTCACAAGTTGGAAGCCTAGCTGGGTGTGGTCTTGCTCTAAAGTTACCCCTCCAGTTATTCCAATTAGCATCAGGCTTTTGTTTAAACTTTTTTTGCTCTGTAAGCACTGGAGTTTGCTCTATTATAGTTCCTGATGCTCTTATTTTTCTTCAAACTTCATTTTTTATTTCCCTTTCTCAGCTTGCTCCTTTTAGTTATATATCTGCATAAGAGTGACCACTAATCACCATATGACACAGTCAGTGCTAGGCTGTCTTGAAATCTCCTCTGCCAATGCCATTCATCCAAAACTCTTCACTTTATCATCAGGTAGAATTGGAAAAGGACAGAAAGCAGCCACATTCTTTGCCAAACTATCACAACAATTGTCTCTTGACCACTTAGTAGAATTCTCTCTTCTCAAAGCTCTTGGGCTGGGGATGGGACAGTTCAAATCACCCTCAACACCACTGTCTTTCATTAAGCTCCACTTACATTTCAACTAATCCAAACTCCCAAAGTCCACATTCTGCCAACAAGCAGCATGGTCAGGTCTATTACCCTGTTTTCTGGTATCAACTTCTGTCTCAGTCAGTGTTCTATTGCTATGAAGAGAAGCATGACCACAACAACTCTTTTAAAGGGAAACATTGAATTGGGACTTCCATTATCACCAGGAAGGAAGCATGGTGGCATGCAGACAGAGAAGGAGGTGACATGTCTACATCCAGATTCATGGGCTGAAATAAGAGAAAGTCATTGTGCTGGGGATGGGCTTCTTGCAATCTTGAAGCTTAGGGACACTCTTCCTACAAACAAGCAGCATTTAATAATCCTTTCAAATTGTGCCACAAGGTTCTGGGCTGTCTGTGGAGCGTTATGGAAGGGAGAGAAAGGCAATGAGGTTCATGTCCTTGGAAAGAGGTGTATCTAGGAAGGCAAAGATGGTGAGGAACAGGATGGTGAGGGAGGCCTACTTCCCATCTGGGGCCATGGTGATGTCCATTCCTGGGCTATAACCAGGGGCCATGTCGGTGCTCATAGTCTTACCAAAATCGCAGCTTGTGCTGATGTCCATGGATCCTGTTACCACTGAAGGCCATATTGATGCCCGGGGTTTGTCAAGTTGATGACCAGGGGGCTATGCAGTCACAAGGGCCATTCTGATCTGAGTGACCTAGGTTGCCATCCAGAACCATCTCTGGGTCTGTGGTCCTACCACGGCCAAGGTCTGTGTTGATATCCAAAGTGTCTGTCAGCATCGAGGTTGAGGTGGGCGTCTCACATCTAGGCTCCCAACTGGAGGTATTTTAGTGTCTGAGGGCCACCCTACAGTCAGGATGATGCTGATATGGGTATCCTATGTTGTTACACTGGGCCATGGTGGCATCTGTCCTGGATTGCTGCTGGGGGCCATGTCTGAGCATGTGTCCCTATAACAAGCAGGGTCTGTGTTGAGATATGTGACTTCTATTGTCATTAGGGGTTATGAGACTGCTTAGGGTCTCTGTTACCACCTAGAACCATGCTGGAGTGTATAGACCTTGAAGCTGCTGTTCCCATGCCAATCTGAGAGGCCTGTGTTACTACCAGGGACCCTGGTGAGCTCCAAGCCAATGCAATTATTGATGGCCATGTCTGTGTCCTTGGTCCTGCCACATCTGGGATTTGTGTTGATATACATTGCTGTGTTACCACAGCAGCCCATAGGAAAAAGTGTAGACTCATGAGTTCAATTACAAGGTTCTTGCTGTGCTAGCCCTCCCTCTCCCTAGCCAGGGGAGAGCACCTCTCCTCACTGGAGAGCTGACCCTGTCCTTTACCAGCTCCGGAATAAAAGACCAGATGACCCTGGTATGGGAAAGATGGCCCCCCACACTTGGCAATGAGAGCCCCACCCCTCACCACAGACATGAGAGAACTGGTCCAATCTCTCACCTGAGGGGAGAGGTTCCAGCTGCAAGAAATGACCAATTTAGCAGCCACCCAAGTACATGACCAGGGATTTTAACTGTCACAGTCCAACATCTCCCCCATCTACGACCTGCTGGAGTGTGTGAAGGATCTGGTCATGTGGAACATGGTTTACATGACTTGCAGCAACAGTAGGATATCGTCAGACTTTCCAGGGGATCCAGTGTTGATGGTATGCCAGAGGCTAGAGGCCTTGAATAAGATGAACAGCACATACAATGAACATTTGCAAAGGGAAGACATTTGGACAAAGTGTATATAGTTCATGATAAACAGCAGCTTCCAATGTCAGGAAGTTGAAGTAGCAACGGAGAAGCAAAAATGGACGAACAAAGTGATTTCGTTCTTTTGTTTTGATTCAGTTTTGTTTGTTTTTCAGTTGCATAGTTGTTTTTTTAATTGAAATTGGTATTTTTATTTTTAATATTTTGTTTATTTTATAGCATTTTTCTTCCTTTTCAATCTTTCTCTTTCATTATTAATTAAGGTTAAATTTTAATTTGGGGGACGTAAGAAGAGTTAGGGATGTATGTAGAGGAGCTGGAGGACAGGTGGGATTAGGGTGCATAATATGAAATTCCCAAAGAATCAACAAGAACATTTTTTTTAAAAACTTCATCACCTGTCTTCACCTTTACCAAATTTCCCTAAAGGGTTCATGGGATTTGGTGGTGACTTTGTTTTCTTGACAGAGTCTCACTATGTAGACCTGGCTGGTCTCAAATCCAGTGACTTTTCTGCTTCAGGTTCCCAAGTGCTGGGATTAAAGAAGTGAGCCACAAGGGGCTGGAAAGATGGCTCAGGGGTTAAAAGCACCGACTGCTCTTCCAAAGGATGCAGGTTTAATTTCCTGCCCCCGAATGGTAGGTCACGTCTGTCTGTAACTTCAGTTCCACAGGATTCCAACCCTCAAATCAAGGCAAATAAATAAATAGGGAGAGAAAGGGGGGGGGCAGAGGGACACAGGAAGGCAGGGAGGCAGGGAGGGAGGGAAGGGAGGGAGAAAGAGAAATGTGAGCCACCACAACAGGCTTTTAGGCAATTTGTAATTTTGGTATATAGGGCAAAGATCAACCAACTTCTACTTTTTGCAGTATCTCCCTCTCTCTGAAACACACACACACACACACAAATCAGCTTGTGGGGAATAACAGAATATCCTAAAAATTTTTGATACAGGCTAGGATAAGTAATACAGTTTGGTTTGTAGAGTGATTGTCGAGCAGTACCAGGTCCTGGGTTTTATTTTTCTACAAATAAGTCTAGTTTTGTGACAACAGAATCAGGAGTTCAGGTTTTTCTCAGCTACATAAGCCAGGAAGGGGCCAAACCAGGCTAATGAAACCATGTCTCGATCAAAAGTAAAAACAAAAAGCTCCAAAGAAAAATGGTGGAAAATGGAAAAGTTTTAGTAAATAAATACAAGTAGTTCACACACCATCTAGCTTCCCTTTCAAATCCAATCTGAAACTGAAAGCATGCTGTCCACAGGATAAAAAGGACACATCACTCACTGCCTTCTGCCACCTTGCTAGAAGAGGCCAGAGACCCAGCCACCGAAGATCTGCTCAGGTAACTGACAAATCTGAGCTCTGTCCTCTGAAGGGGAAGGCCTCTAAAGTTGAAGGGGACTCTGAGAAAAATCTGAGGGTTTTAGTGGATGGGGGTGGTCTATAACTCAAGGCTTAAAGTCAGAAGTGTAATTCTGGGCAAGAAATAGCCCACGTATAGAGATGAGGTCAGGTCTAGATAAAGGAAGGATAGACAAGATGCTATCAATCTCTCTAGAAACTTAAAAATATATTGCAGGACCACTCAATTTACCTCCCAGGCCTGCAGGAAGCAACTGGCATTTGTGCACACAGGCGCTTATGCATATAGACTTTTTCCTTCCTGTACTTCCTGGATTTTCAAGACAGAACAGGGATTTACTTCATTAATCCCATTTTCTCCCGCCTCCAATCAACATTAGCTTCTATCCTCTGCTTGGCTTTATCTATCCATTTTTAAAGAGTTTTAGAGAGTACATTCTTGCTGTGTACCGAAGACTAACCCAGACCTCGAGGTTTTCCTGCTCCAGATCTCCTGCATGTTGGTGAACATTGGCTAATCTTTTGTTGCTGCTGTTAATGTAGGGTCTTACAGGATGGAGGTACAGTGGGAAGTAGTGACGGAAAGGGAATGGGGATGAAGGAAAAGAGAGAGATGGATGTTGAGGTCCAAGGTGTTAGCTACACAGAATACCAGGGGGAATTTTAATTGGCACAAATTGCAGGAGTTCATACTGGGGCTGAAGTGACTCGTTGCATATCTTCAGTCTGTGTGGGGTGTGCAGAGCATCAGGACCAGTGAAGGAGGCTGTACTTAGCTGTCCCAGAGAGAAGTAGACAGCAGTCTTGTGAAAGACTGAACAACCACATGAGGAACTAGGGAGGGGAGGGGAGAATTGGAAACTTACTCCAGGCTGACTGAGCCATGCTTCCTGAATGAGAAAGTCCCTCTGCTGACTGACCAACCCTACAGGATCCCTTCCTGCTAGCACCTCCATCCGGGATTTCTGAAAATTGCTGACTTTAATACAGAATTTTGATGACTAAGCATTAAGACAAGAAATGGGTGGTTGTAGCTCAGTAGTCACCAACAGGAATCCATGGTGTGTGGTCCTTCTCAAAAAGCAAACTGTGGACTTCAGAAATGACTCATTGGCTAGACAAATATTTGCTCTTGGAGAGGGATCAGATTTTAGTTCCATCACCCATGTCAGGCAGCTCACAAGTGCCTGTAACTCCAGCTTCAGAGAACCTGACACCTCTGTCCTCAGAGAGCACCTGCCTAAGATGCACAATACCCCTTACCCCAGGATATGCATGTGCACACATTACTAAAAGGAAGAAAAATACATCATTTTTAAAAAGCAAATTGCATCAGAATTAACAAAGGAGCTAATTAGAAATGTTAAATGCATGACTTTGGGACTGGGTTCCAGAAATCCTTTTCGATGTCAGGTTTCCAGAGAATTTCTCATACAATCTAACTTTAGAAAGCATTTCCTGAATAAGTAGCAGGATCCTAAATGGCTCAGGTTGTATAGAAGGCCACGGGAATTCGCCTTTACTGGCCAGGGCTTACCCTTTAACTTTGTTTTTTTGTTTTTGTTTGTTTGTTTTCAGAGTCTCATTACATCCTAGAATAACCTGGGACTTGGGATGCCCCTGCCTCTACCTCCCAAGGGCTGGGATTATAGATGTGTTCTGTCATAACTGGTTGTCTAGGAAGACTTCAAGTATTCAGGTAGATATCTTATGTGGCAGAATATGGTTATTTTACAATAATTAATGATGCTTTAAGAGTTGAGGCTGTACAGAGGTGGAAACCTTCACTGCAGTGCTGAACTCCTAGGTCTGTTGCATCTGCAGTGTCCCCTAAAGACTCGGGGCAGGAGAAGCCAAGCTGGAGCAACTAGTTAGCCACATCGATCAACTCCTCTTTGCCATTCTTAAGGTGTGGGGAAAACATTGTCTTTTATTCTAAGTCAAAATTCTGTGGAAAGGAACATAACAGGCTTAGATAAGTGTGATTGAGTGTTCATGAATTTGCAGTCATAGGCAGGAATGAAGGATGGGTTCACACCAAAGGGGAGTGACCTTTCTTGTCATTCCTTGCCTTGCCTTTCAGTGTATATGTTAAAGCTCCACCCCTCAAAAAGTAGTGCAAGCAATACATTCAATACGTTCTCATAAGATACAGCTGTTAATAAGACTGACTGTGTTGGTTTGCTTCCTCGCTTTTTATTTTCTCTCTCTCTCTCTCTCTCTCTCTGTATATATATATATATATATATATATATATGTGTGTGTGTGTGTGTGTGTGTGTGTGTGTTCATGCAGAGATGTAGGCACTTGCATGTGTGTGGGAACATGCTCGTGACAATCTCGGGTTGCATTCTTCAGGCACTCTCCATCATTTTTGTAAAGACAGGGTCTCCCACAGCCCTGGTACACACCAAATGGGCTGGTTTGGCTCCCCAGAGAGACTAGGGGATCTCAATGACTCATCTCTGTCCACCTCCCAGTGCTAGAAAACTGTTGCATGTTATCACACCCCGCTTTTCCCAAGGGTTCTGGGAATTGAACTCAGGTCTCTGTCACAAGGCAAGTACTTTACCCACAGAGCTATCTCCTCAGCTTGTGTTCATTACTATCACAAAATGGTTGATACTGAAAAGTTTATGAAGTCAGGTGCTTCCTCAGTTCACAGTCTGATAGCTGCAAAGTCTAAAACATGGCAATGCTGGTTGGTTAGGGTTTTCCTGGCAGAATCACAATGTGCTGAGAAGCCATTGCCGTGTGCAGAAGGGACAACATATCACTAGAGGAAGCCACAGAGGTTGTGGGGCCAGACTATCTCATGCAGGAACTTAGGAGGATCCCACATGTGAAATGATCTCTTCTGAGGGTGATCCCTCCAGGAGCTGAACACTTCCCAGGAGACTTCATCTATAAAGATTTCCTGACCTTCATATGGCCATACTGGGGACCTGTGGAGGACAAGTGTACATAAATCATAGAACATAATGACAGCATTAAAAGACATTAAACGGTAACTAGCTGAGTGTGAGTCACAAGCTATTCAAATATGGAGAAGAATTTTAGAGTGTTTACAAAGTAAATCATCAGGGCCTGTGATATATCTGATAAACTCTGGACTGTTTCTCCCTGGCGGTGTACACACTATCTAGCTCTGTGTATTACCATGATTGACTGATCCTGGGGTCAGAGGATTTCAGTCACCTCATCTCTGGCAAAAGACCCAAGATGAGCTACTCAGAGTCTTGATAATCAATTCTTGCAGCAGTGTGACCAGTACTCTGGACCTCCAAATGTGAAATGGAGATTCAGTCATTAACCCAGAACTGATCAATCAACAGACTGTTACAGTCCTGTGTTAACCCCTATTTCAATGTCTTATGTTTGCTTGTAGCTGTTTTTCAACGTGAAGATGACACCAAAAATTCTCATGTTTCTCCTGACTTGGTTGTTAAGCCAGCAGGTAATATTCTCAACCCACACTCTGTTGACCCTGCTTTCCCCTCCCCACATCTTCATGATATTACTGTTCCCATAGATAGAGAACAGTAGAGGGCATGAATCTTGGAGAAGTTATCAGTAAGGGGGAAGGTTGTGTGTGGGCTGATTATGAACAATGCACACACACATATATAGATATATATGCATATATATATGAAAATATGATGGTAGGCCTTTTATTTTGTATGCTGACTAAAGATTTGATTGAAGAAATAGAAGAATGTAGTATCCATAAACACAAAAGTTTCAGAGATCTCAGTCTTGCCTTTCTGCACCCCTTATAACATAATGAGATGTGACCATGCCAGTGTCATGTATAAGGTTGGAGTATGTGATATCTCATATTGCAGGCTCCAGGCAGTACCCACCACGTGTTGAAAACTCAGCCAACTTAGGTAGTAACAAAGAACTGTACTTCTTCCTTTCAGGTGACAGACCTGACTGAGCCTTCCAATCTGGACATGGCTCCCAATGCATTTGATGATCAGTATGAGGGCTGTGTCCAAGAAATGGAGATAAAAGCACCTCAGTTGTTAGAAGACGACTTCAACATGAATAAGGACTTAAAAGTTGTGTGGGAAAAGGCAGAGGAAAAATGGAAGGAGATAAAAAAGACAAGGAACTTTCCCAAAGGTTTCAGTGATTACCATGGAACAGCTTTAGTAACGTATACTGGGGACATCTACTTCAATTTTAACAAAGCTGTTAGAGAATTTACGGAAAATCCCAGTAACTTTCAGTTCAAGGCCTTCCATTACTACTTAACAAGAGCTCTTCAGCTTCTGAATAACAATAATTGTTACACAGTTTACCGAGGCATCAAGAAACATTTTAATTACAGTGGGAAGGGCCCTGTGAGGTTTGGGCAATTTACTTCCGCATCTTTGGAAGACAGAGTAGCTCTTGGTAGTTTTGGTGGTGCTAGTGGGACAATGTTTACTATCAAAACCTGCTTGGGGGTTCACATAGCTGAATTTTCCTACTACCCTCTTGAAGAGGAGGTGTTAATTCCAGGCTATGAAGTATACCACAAAGTCAGTGTAACACCAAGTCGAAAGCTTAATGACAATATTCTTCTGGATGTCCCACAAAGAGGGAAAAGCAACTTCAATTGCTTCTACAGCTCAGGTGAGTGTGGGTCTTTGTTTGCCTTTCAAAGTATAGTCCATTTATAGTAATCCTTCCTTAATACTTTAAGAGAAAATTACTGTACCATGCTATCTGTGCTAGGTCTGGAGTCAGACTCAACTGTAATTAGGTTCAATCAACCATGGTTCTGTGACTCTTGGCAACTATCCAGATATCTGAGCTTCAGTTTCCCCATTTGAATGATAAAGATTCAAATGACAAGTATTCTAGTCTTATTACTTTCAGAATTTAAAGAGAAGCATTCAAGACATGACTTGGCATTTAGATATCATTCCCCAAATTCCTTCTGTTATTAAATATGAAGACCTATGTACATTTCTCAGCCATCAGATACAAAGTCACACTGGAATAGGGCTCGACATTTAAAAGAACATCACTTGCTTACAGTCTAGAGATCTTGTCTCCTACTCGCCACCACTCAAAAATTCACAGTGTCTTGCTTACTTACATATAGGCTCCATTAAATGTTGTGCTAGGAAGTTAAGTTTGAGTGAGAGACCAGGGAGCCAACCTGATGAGTTACAAATAGACTACTGAGTGCTGAGCAGTCATAGCTCTAATCAGCCCTGACACTCTGAGGGGTTTCTGGAAACATGAGAAGTACTTCTAGCTTGAAGTGAAACTACAGGAAGTGATCACAGGGACTTCATGTATTTGTATAGAGAATTTCAGAGTCAGGATGAGGCCCTAGGAAAGCACGATTCCTACCCAGTTACACAGTCCACCCAGAAAGATGCTGTCAAACTGGGAGAAACAGTTGGTGTCCAGTCCAGGCAGGCTGAGAGCCACAGGTAGGTTCTAGTTCACACCAGCTGGCATAGAAGGAATGCACATTGCTTCAACAATGGACTTTCACTTGATTCAGACCTAAAAACCTCTTCTTAGGTCAGGAAGGAAAAGCACAGAGGGCTCCCTAACAGGCCAGTAAGACTCTTCATAGCAAAGGCTATGAAGTGTTTGATCCTTCAGTTTGCTCACCTCCTGGTACTTGAGGTTTTCAGGAATCCTGAGGAAGCCAAAAGATACTAGCCAGCACACCGACCCCATAGAGCCTACTTTCCTGGGTATTGAACTGGATGTAAAGTTCTGAACTTTAGGGGAGATACCTTTGTCTTGAGATATCTCTCATGGAAACCACTACTTCTTCTCCCATCTGCAGGAACCAGACACAGCCCTGCATTCCTGTTGCTTGTGGTGCTACCTGGTCTCCTGGTCCAGCTGCTTCCTCTTGCTGAGCTGTAACAATAGCTTTCCTGCAGTTCATGGGGTTGAGTGCTGAAGGGAGGGCAAAGGGCTAGAACTGGGAAGGTTCTCTAAGGTCTGTGGTAAAATGAAGTGGTGATAATTTTGGGGGGTATCTACTTTAATATTCACGACTTCCACAGACTCTCCAGGAACTTACTGGGTCTGTCAGTGAAGCTTGATTCTGACTTCAGATTTACTACCCTTTGATACTTTGCTATGATCAAAAAGCAATGTTCATCTGCATCATCAGCGCTAACAGCTTTAAAGCACACAATGTGTGATGAGTGTCACCATCTAGTGAAATAAACCATGTATAACCATACGTTGATTTCTGTGACTCCATGTATTTCTATAGGTTGTATTATTTGTTTGAGGAACTCTCCTAAGGCTTGAGGTCTAATGCTGATCCTGATACAACTGAATAAATTCATGTTGTACTTTTGTCAACATGGTCCTGCAGGACAAATTGATTAGGTCATAAATATAAGAGCTGACCTAGATAAAGCCACTCCCTATCCTATCCCTTCAGAAACATAGCCAACTACTGAGCCCTGTCAGCTAATTTATCCAGCTTTGATCATCTGTAAGGACATGAATAAGCACATCAATTTTTAAAATTTTTGTATTGGTTGATTGCCTGATGTATGCATGTTCATGCCTTGAAATGTGTTTGTGGTCATGGGTAAGTCTGTGTCATGAGTTCTCTCCTTCCACCTTTATGCAGGCTCCAGAATCACACACAAGGTTGGCAGTTTCACATATCAAGGATTTTAACTGCTGAGCCATCTCAGAAAGCCAGACAGGCATCTTTTGATGCAATATGGACCAGGAAGTCTGTGCTCTGTACTCACTCAAAGAAGGCTAATCCAAGTGCATAAAGCTCCCCTTACTCCCCATTTTATGAAGTAACCCTGGGAGAAGACAGTAGACTCATTTCAGATTATAATTACATCAGCTAATGTATTGGAAGGGCTAGCAGGAAAACAAGGTCTGACTCAAACCTGAGACTGTTGAGCTAAGAGTGGTGGGGATGGCGGAAGGGTTTTAAATGTGAAAACCTCAAGAAGACCCCGTGTATCACCACAAGCAAACCAAGAGCTGTTTGCTCTGCAAAATTAGGTAGTCAAGGGGACCCAAGAATTGTCCTTGAGTGTCTGCATAAGCTGTTTACAGAAGACAAAAAGACAGCCAGTCGCATCATAAAGTGGGAAATGGTCATGAAGCCAAAAAGGCAGCTAGTCACGTGATACAACAAGGGAGGTGGTCATGGGTGGACACTTCTTAGTAAGGGTGGGGGAAATCACTGAATTGAGGTTACTGGCATCTTATCTTCCAGGGACTTAAGTCAGAGTCAAATGGATGCCCAACATAAAATGCAGTTTCTTCAGTCATTACACCATTCCCCACTGTCTCTAGATAATATCAATCAAATCTTGGAAAATGCATAGTGAAGGTTTATCAATTGCTTAGAATCTTCATTGTGCATAGAGAACTTAGAGCTCTGAGCAGATATATGGAATAATAAGGACATTAAAACAAAAACAGCCCCAAACAGCTATAACAAAACTCCCTTTGGAATCCACTGAAGGGTGTGTAGACCCATTTCCTTTCCTTCCTTTTAGGAACCCTGAACCCCATGTAAGGAGGGTTTTTATCCTCTGAAATGGCTTAGAAAACTTCCCCACTGCTTCATCAACTCAGATCCCAGCAGTTGGTAAATTCTCTAAAACCATTCCTTTCTCAGGTCACTAAAGGTGTCCCAGTAGTTCATACAGGCTGTTCACCGAACTATCTGAGAAACGTACCATTCTCCTAGTCCTCCAGTGCTTTCTGCTTTGAGTCTGATGATACTGTCTGGGTGGATGGGCTTAGCCAAGGGGGCACTGGAACTGACTGGGCAAGGAACCTCCATAGCCATTCTCTTCACTCCAATGGTGGTGAAGGTTGCTGGCATCACACATGGATCCAACACACACAGGTCACGAATGCGTATGCCAGACACTGCTGCCAAAGCACTGTCTCCCACACTGTGGACCCATTAAAATGAAGGTTTCATTAGACCTAGGCCCTTTCATCAATGCTCTTCTATTTCCTCATGAGTGTTATGTTTGGTGTGAATACAGGGTCATGGTCTAGTCCCTACTTTCCCCAGACCTGGACCTGGTAACTGGGAAAGACAGAAACAGGGAAGGTGATAGCTAATGTGGCTGCAGCACAGTAACTCAAACTTCATCTCTCCCTTTGCTCACTAAGGTCCACTTTAAAAATCTGCTTATACTGGAAATGAGACACTGTGGGATTGTATGTTTTGAGATATGTATACACAGATTACAATTCTATGTATACCTTGTTCTTATTTTCCAGGAGCAGGGAGTTTCATTTGTAAACTGCTGTTGTAAAAAGAAGTTTCCTGAAAACACACAGAAGACTATATAAGAAGAAAGCGCCCTCCCTAGCAATGCGTAAAAGGAAAATGTAATTTTTTCTGTTTGGTTTTTCGAGGCAGGGTTTCACTGTATTGTCTTGGAGGCTGTCCTGGAACTCGCTCTGTAGGCAATGCTGGCCTCAAACTCACAGAGATCTTCCTGCCTCTGCCTCCTGACTGCTGGGATTAAAGGCGTGCGTCACCACTGCCTGACAGGAAAACTAGGTCAATAGCCATAAAATTAAAAAACTGAAAATTCTATAAAAAAAAGAGTCTGGCCTTTGGGAAACATGGAAAACCTAGGGAATCAAACTCCAACCCACAGGAAGTGGGCCTTGGGGATCAAGTTAGTTATTCCCAGCCTGAAATTGACCAGGATTGCTACTTATGCTTAGACACACAGCCCCTGAGCTATAAAGGAAATAATTAGACTGTCAGTCTATAACTAAATGTGACATGGGCAGGTGGTGGCAATCCAAAATCACATTGAAGGACTCTTACAAGGGCCTTAAATATGTCTATTACAGAAAAACCTTTACCCTAGGTGTTACCCCTTATTGTGAAGCCTGCTGTTCTGCCTTGTGGGTCAACTCATATAGACAAGAGGAATGCTACCAAGTCCCTGAGACTACTTGGATGGAATGTTCTAATGGCTTAACTAATGTGATTCTTCTGATGCTTTATATAATGGGAAAAATACAATATGAACCATGCACTACAATAAAGAAAGGAAGAAAGAAGTAAAAGAATGGAAGAAAAAAAGAAAGAAAGAAAGGGAAAGGAAGGTAGGAAGAAAGCTATACCTGTGCTTCTATTCCTGGTCAAAGAAGGGATAGCAAGCTCAAAAACCATAGACACATCAATTTTTGTTATGGCAAGCAAAACATTAAGAAACTAAGTTAATAGGTTGACAAGACCTAGAAGCATTGTAAGTTTCCGTTTCTGAAAGAGAACAACTGGTAGACTCCCTTGCAGATGTGCTCCTATAACTTCAGAAAGGCTTAGACTTCCTTCTCATGACACAAAGGGGACTATGTGTGACTTGAGGAAAGGTTTTTGATTTTATTATGGTTAATCAAGAGCATTTAGAAAAAGAGTCATGGTTGGGTAAGATGAGAGAACAAGCGAGGGAGAGAGAGAGACAGAGACAGAGAAAAGACAGAGAGAAAGATCTGTCTCTGTTCTGTTTGTCCCCCTGGCTAACTACTCTGCTACCAGCACTGACTGGCCCTTTAATTCTAATTGCATTAATGAAGGGGTCCTACATCTTATATTATAAAGCAGTGTAAGTGCACAATTTGACTTATGCATTTAGACTAGTGTGGATTATTTACAGGTCCCCAGACATAGTACAGCTGATTCCATGTTGCAAGTGCCATTCAGGCTGTAAAACTCTGAACCATCAACCAAAATGAAAACAAAGACCTAATCTGTCCAAGTCCAAAGTTCTTTGAGAGCCTTTACCATGCTTTTTGGCTTCTATAGTACTGCTTTGGTCTTGTTAACTGAAGTATGCCCAATCAACAATATGGTGTCTGTGCTTAAAAGCTCACCCTGAGAAAGGCTTGGAATAGCGCTCAGGTACTGAACACCTGAACACCCAGTGTAGTCACTGACCAGCTAATAATGGCTTTGCATTGGCTTAAACCCATGTCCCAGCAGTATCTCTGGTGGATACGCTACCACACTGGAGTTTGCTCTATTATAGGTCCTGATGCTCTTATTTTTCTTCAAACTTCATTTTATATTTTCCTTTCTCAGCTTGCTCCTTTTAGTTATATATCTGCATAAGAGTGACCACTAATCACCATATGACACAATCAATGATAGGCAGTCTTGAAATCTCCTCTGCCACTGCCATTCATCCAAAACTCTTCACTTTATCATCAGGTAAACTTGCAGAAGGACAGAAAGCAGCTACATTCTTTGCCAAACTATCACAACAATTGTCTCTTGGCCACTTAGGAGTATTCTTCTCTTCTCAAAGCTCTTGGGCTGGGGCTGGGCCAGTTCAAATCACCCTCAGCACCACTGTCTTTCATTAAGCTCCACTTACATTTCAACTAATCCAAACTCCCAAAGTCCACATTCTACCAACAAGCAGCATGGTCAGGTCTATCACCCTGTTCCCTGGTATCAACTTCTGTCTCAGTCAGTGTTCTATTGCTATGAAGAGAAGCATGACCACAAAAACTCTTTTAAAGGGAAACATTTAATTGGGACTTGCTTACATTTTCAGAGTCCATTATCACCAGGAAGGAAGCATTGTGGCATGCAGACTGACAGGGTCCTATAGAAGGAGGTGACAGGTCTATATCCAGATTCATGGGCTGAAGTAAGAGAAAGTCATTGTGCTGAGGATGGGCTACGTGAAATCTTGAAGCTTGGTGACAGTCTTCCTCCAAACAGGCAGCATTTAATAATCCTTTCAGATTGTGCTACAAGGTTCTGGGATGTTGGGTGCCATTATGGTGAGCACTTGTGTGGAGCGTTATGGAAGGGAGAGAAAGGCAATGAGGTTCATGTCCTTGGAAAGAGGTGTATCTAGGAAGGCAAAGATGGTGAGGAACAGGATGGTGAGGGAGGCCTACTTCCCATCTGGGGCCATGGTGATGTCCATTCCTGGGCTATAACCAGGGGCCATGTCGGTGCTCATAGTCTTACCAAAATCGCAGCTTGTGCTGATGTCCATGGATCCTGTTACCACTGAAGGCCATATTGATGCCCGGGGTTTGTCAAGTTGATGACCAGGGGGCTATGCAATTTCAAGGGTCATTCTGATCTGAGTGACCTAGGTTGCCATCCAGAACCATCTCTGGGTCTGTGGTCCTACCAAAGCCAAGGTCTGTGTTGATATCCAAAGTGTCTGTCAGCATTGAGGTTGTGGTGGGTGTCTG